ATTCCATCAGAATTCAATATTCTATAAGCTAAGTCCATATTTAATACATCAAGAAAGATGCAAAGCTGAGTTTATCATATCTGGAAACATGGCATATCTGGAAAGTCTAGAATAAGGATTTTGATATCAAGTACACTTGGAAGCATTATACTTTATCATGCTTATAATTTCCAGAGCCATAAACTTGTTTATTATCTTTAAAATAATTCCTAGGGTTTGCATATAAGAAGAGTAAATGAATTAAAAACATAACATGTATATGACATCTTAAGGTCTGCAAAATATTTATATACATTATCTCAATGGAATCCTCACAACAGCCCTGTGGCATAGGTACTATTATAATCCCCATTTTACAGGTGCAGAAAGTAAGGTTCATAGGAATGAAATGACTTTCTAGAAGTCACAAAGCTGGCACACTCATAAGAAACATAGATTTAGAGCTAGAAGGGACTTCAAGCAACATCTAAGTCCAATCCCCTGATTTACACTTGAGGAAACTGAGGCTCACGGAGGTTAAGTGGCTTACTCAAGGTGACACTGCAGGAACGCAGGGATCACAGAGATCAGAAATCTAGAGTTGGAAGGTACCTCAGAAGCTACATAGTATATAACCTCCTCATTTAACAGTTGAGGAAACTGAGGCTCAGGAAGCTTAAGAAACCATCCAAAGTCACACAGGTTCTGTCAGAGGTAGAATTTAAACCCAGGCCCTCTGACTTTAGAGTCAATACTCTTTCTGTTGTCCTCTGTGACCTCCAGTTCCTGGGATTCACACCCAGACCTTCCTGACTCTTAAGTTCAGTACTCTATCAGGTATGCCAGATTACTATCACACAAAAGAGGAGAAACAAGATCCATTGGAAAACCAAATGCTTTCAGGTGAAAAATATCAGTAAATCTACATAGTAAAAGAAATGTTCCCTTCAGAGCACAAAGCTTTCTTGTTGCTTCGTGAGCTGGCAAACATCCAGGAAGAGGTGAGCACTATATTCCATAGGTTTCAGGCAAAAAAAAAACTGCTATTGCAGTTACAGTTATCCAGACCTCTCCATGCACATCCTGATCATGTTATTCCAATATTATGCAAGAGGAAAGGTTGTTTGCAAATTGTTCCATGTGTGGCATGAAGAGAAAGTAAAAATAGATGGTTTGCTTCGTGTGTAGAGGGTGGATGGGGAGAGCATCACTTTCCCTTTTGATTGGAGAGGTTTGCTTTTATTTGTTGAATAAAAGAGTATCATCTCTTTATTTGTATAAGGGCATTTGATGTACTTGAATCATTTTTGTTTGTCACTCCAAATTGATTTTCTTAAAGTATTTTGTGTTTCCGCCTTCTAACTTAAACATTGCCTATCCTCAGTAATAATGTTCACCTCTCAAAAAATGGATTAGAAGTTCAATAAATCTTCCTTAGTGATAACAATGTCCAAGCACCAAGTTCTGCCTGACATGTTTTATAACTGTGACCTCTTCCATGTTAGACACCCCCCTGTGGTGACAACTCACATGAATATAAATTTAACAACACTGCCACCAAGACCCTTCGGAACACCTGGCTCTGCTGACTGGATTTTTACTTAAAATATGTGTGATATGGGCAGCATTTTTCTTACTTGTTGCATAAAAATATCGTTCAACAAGTATCTATTAAGCACCAAATTTGTGCCAGACACTGTACTTTAAGTATATTTCTGTATGTTTTAAAACAAATTTCTACATTACCTATATTTTGGGGCATCTAGGTGGTGCAGTGGATAGAGCACAGGCCTTGGAGTCAGGAAGACCTGAGTTCAAATCTGGCCTCAGACACATAACACTTAACTAGCTGTGTGACCCTTGGCAAGTCACTTAACCCCATTGCCTAGCCGAAAAAGAAATTAACCAACATATTACCTATATTTGACAGTAAACTAAGGACATTATAAAATGTGCCCCCAAAGGAGATGTACATATCAAAAGGATTATATGTTTAGAAGTTGTTAAATGGTTTGATCTAAAAATACTGAAAGTTGTGAAATGGTTGGTGGCAGTTTTCAATAGAGTGGATGAAATGAGAAAAACTGGATTTATTCACAATTTTTCTTCATTTCTTCAAAGTAATCATTCCCATAAAGTTAACCATGTAGATATGTCTTCATGCTCATAAGATATCCAAAGAAGTGTAACCTTTTGACAATTATACTTAGGTTGAGACCTGGAGTGAATGAGATCATGACTACCTAGTCTGATCCATTGGGCTCCCAAGTATTGTTGGTATGGGTTGAGTAGCATTTGAGTTTAAAATGTTTTTTTACTTTTTCTTTAACTTTTAAAACTTGCTCCTCTTCTGTCTTTCTAAGAATCATTGGAGTTAGCTCAATAGTCAGCAGGCAAATGCTCCTCTGCAAATTTTTCATTATAGTCTGATTATCTTTTACCACTACTCAACACTTGTACACGACCACCCCATCCCTTCCAATGGTATGTACTCACAGAGTTCAAACTGTTTCTATTATCAATCTTTTTTTAAAGGATATTTAGGAAGATAAATCTGATGCATTAGAAAAACTAAACCACACTGTATCCCAGAGTTAGCAGTTCAAAAGAAGCACAGTAATGTAAAACTAAAAAAACCTCATAGTCAAGATATCTGAGTTCTATTTCCCTAGACCTGGTTATATCACTTGCTAGTTAAATGACCGGCAACTAGATGGTGCAGTGGATAGAACTTCAGGCCTGCAGTCATGAAGACCTGGGTTCAAATTTGGCCTGAGACATTTTTTAACTGTGTGACCCTGGGCAAGTAACTTAAATCTGTTTGCCTCAGTTTTCTCATCTGTAAAACAAGCTGGAAAAGCAAATGGCAAACCACTGTAGTGTCTTTGCCAAGAAAACCTTAAATGGGGTCAGGAAGAATGGGACATCACTGAAAAACAACAACCAAAAAAAGTTATATGACCTCGAGCAAGCAATTTGATCTCTGGTTTCAGTTTCTTCATCTGTAAGATGAAAAGTTAGGACCTGACAATCTCCAAAATTCCCTCTTTCCAGTTATAAATTTCTATTCTACTGAAAATCACTTTCCTACTCTATTCTGCTATGGATTTTCCGCATCATTGCTCTTCTCCACTAAGACATACAATCAAGAGTTGACTGCATTATCTGCTTTCCAAGTAAGGACCCTCCTCCTACTGAGAAAAGTAAATTTTGTCTTTCTTATATCCTTTTCCCTGTTAAATAGAAATAATTATGTTTGAGTGAAACATTTTCTCACAGTGAAATAATTATACTCAATAGGTCTGATTTAAAATTTGTCAGGCAACAGAAGGTACTTTGCCAAAGATTAAGAAAAATGAACCACACTATCAAATTTCTGAACATCCTTGCACTGTTTATACATAGTAAAGAGCACATCAAAAAGTAAGACTGCAGTCTCCAAAAATGGGGGAGGGGGAGACAAGAAAGCACTCTGAAGCAGTAGAAAAGTGAAAACCTTTTAAAACACTCATGGGACTGAGGACTGTTAAAAAAAACAGTATTATTTTTATCCCTTAGTTAATGAGCCATACAAGGGATTGCTATTGCTCAGTAAAGTTCATCTTGACATCTCTTTCCATGTGAAAAATATGCGAACTTTAGCAAAAGAAGTTAAGTCACAACCCAAATTATGTTAGTTACAAATCTATTGAGTTGAGTTTTTTGGTTTGTTTACACATAGTAAAACACTGAAGAAAAGCAGTAGACAGTGCTGTGTGTCGGCTCATGCATCACCACAAGAAGTGTGTAGTTCAATGCCTGGCAAAGAGGGTCAGTAACCTTGACCTCAGAAAAGTGACTAAAAAAAAAAAAAAAAACCACGGCAAAAACAGTCTAGGTCCCAGGATACTGTGTGCTAAAAGGAGCATTTAGAGGTAGACAGACAGATAGATAATTTCACTCTGTGCTGTAAGAAAATTGCCGTTCTTTTTTTTCCCCAGATCTTTCAACTATCCATTAGCCTTGCTTTCTCAAACAAGCCATACCCAACAGCTTGCCCTGCCTACTTTGTTCTCTCTTTAAAGATAACTGTAAATCTGTCTGTGTAGAATAGTAAAATTTGAACTAAAACAAAACAAAAGGGAAGAGAAGGATTCTGTAACGCAGTCACACAGAAAAATTCTCCTTCAGCTGTCTGAAAGAATTCCATAACTATCTTTTAACCCAAGGCTGATAAGAATCATTTCACACTTTCAATAGTTACATAATGAATGTTTCCTCCCTCTCTCTCTCTCTCTCTCTCTCTCTCTCTCTCTCTCTCTCTCTCTCTCTCTCTCTCTGTCTGTCTCTCTCTCTCTCTCTCTCTCTCCCTCCCTCCCTCTCAGAATCTGGGGTAATAGTACCTCACTTTACTCTCCCCCCTACTCAACCCATGCAAAACTGTTACTTTTCAAAAGAAAAGCCCGCAACACGCCACTAAACTTTCATATCACTACAGAGGAGGTGGCAGTGTTCAGGCTCTGAAAGAGGAGTGGGTGCAAGCACTCACCAGCCACAGCGCCGCTTGCAACATCCCCAGAACAACTGGGGGAGCTCAGTGGCTGAGTGGCCGCCCAGGAGGGAGAGAGCGCTAGTTCCCAAGTGCATTGGGGAGAGGGTGGGGGAGCCTGACGTTGGGGTGGAGATGCAGGTTGTGCCCTGGCTCACAGGCTGTAGCGGAGGGTGACGGGCCGCAAGTCCCGGGCTTCCCGGCAGTTCAGCCACTGGTGGGGGAGCCAGTGGGGGCGGGGAGCCCGCAGAAAGAGCAATCACTCAATCCACACACACTAGCTCGCAAGCTCGCTCCTAACGTCCTGAGTTACAGCGCAAAAAGGAGAGCTGTTGGGGGACTGGGCGCTTCAGCCTAAGAGGGACTCGAGGGACTAAAGGATGGGCTTGAAGGGTCGAGGCGCCTCTGGGTCGCCAGGCAAACTGGTAGTGCCGAAAGGAGATCCTAGGAAGAGACTAGAAGTAGGTGACTTAGTCGGTTGATGCTCACTCACCAGCTGCAGAGTACAGAGGAAGATGAGAGTGCAGCGCCCGGTGCAGCATCCCATGGTGACTGGCGGCGTCCGAGCCCGAAAGAAAGCTCCGAAGCTCCAGCGGGCGTCCTCCTTTCCTTGTCTTCTCCAATGCAAGCCCCCCAAGCCTGCCCCAGCTCCTGCTCCGGCCCTGGCGCCCACTCTGGGGCGAAGGCTCACTACTTCCAGGCAGACCCCACCACCTCTGCAGCCTCCAAGCTCTGTTTCTTTTTCCTCTTTCTGTTTCTGGTCTTGGGGGCAGTGGTTTCTTGGCTAAGGTGGGGGGGGGTGTCTGTCTCTCCTCCTTTGTTGTAGTTTCTTGGAACTAAACGAGCTGAGGTCAGTGCAGCCCCGAGGACTGGAGCATCTGGCTGGGGTCCCTTCCTCCCCACTGTGCAGGTCTACTTCTTGAGGAGGGGGAGCAGAGGGTGGGAGGAGGTGGGGGAGAAGGGAGGCTACAGATGGTGAGTGGGTGAATGTCTTTTTAGGGGAGGGGTATATAGTAGGTGGGTGTCTGGTAAGTGGAGTGGGTTGACGGGGCTCTCTCTGTGTGTGTGTGTGTGTGTGTGTGTGTGTGTGTGTGTGTGTGTGATAAGGTGGGAAGGAATGAATGAAAGACAGTGTAACCAGAGAGGACTAGCTAGTCTTGTTCAGAATATCAGAATATTTTTAGGGGTGTGTGTGTGAGTGTGTGTGTGTGTGTGTGTGTGTGTGTGTGGTGTTAGCGGATAGTGGTAGGTACTGGTGGTGGTGAATGAATATGAGTGTAATTGAACAGATGAAGTAGATAGATCTGCCCGGCTCTGGGATTCTGTCCATATATACATGCCTTGTGAGGGAGATGGATGTGCCTGTAAACTGATGGGAGCATGTGTAGGGAATCGGTTAGGCGGCTGCCCATTGGGGTAGAGAGAAGGCAGTGGTAACTCTGGAGAGTTATAAATTGAAGGAGGTCGGTCAGGGGAAACGGGTCAAGGTAGGTAAGAATCTATGGGAAGAAGAGAGGACAGCAGCAAAAGATGGTAGTTTGGGTAACTGCTTTATTGGGAAGAGAGTCATGTCGGGAAGTGGGAGATTGCTGACAGAAAGGTGGATTGAATGAGAGCCTGAAAGAGGGAGCAAGCGAATGGCTGTGGACCAGAGGATACGGAGAGGGTGGAGGGTGCTGCTATGGGTACTGACATTTCAGCAGTTGATTGCCTGGAGGGCGCCTATGCTATAGGCTCACGGGGAAAGTTGAATGGAGTTAGCTAAGAGACCAAAAGGACCTCCGGGAGCATGGGAAGGCTAGGGAGAAAAACTGAACATTTTTTAAAAATGAAGAGAACAGATTAGAAGATGTGAAAGAGAATAGGGAGAGCCTGCCTTTACTGACCTAGAGCCCCTCGATGTCATCACCGTGAGAGGGAGGAACGAAGGTGTGTAAGTAGGATGAGGAGTGAGGCAGAGATTAGGCTGAAGAATATAGGAGTCCACCTTCTGGAAGCTACTTTATGGAATCCATTTGGACGGAGACTATCTCTGAAGCAGGACTGGATAACTGATGGTCGGAACCTGAAGTAACTACACACATACCCTGCAAAGACATCTCTAGCTGTTTCTCTTTTATGAAACAGAGTAGGAGAATAATGCAGATGACTGGCTCTCACTAATATTTCATTTTTGATTTCACTGGCATTTAGTGCCATGGATGGAATTAGTGACAGGTAGCTTTTCTTTTTGAATGCATCTGAAACACACCTTCAATGCAACCACACAGGAGCCAGATTCCTTAGTACTTTGCAGAGGACAGAGGCTTTCAGACAGAGCTCGACTTAAACCTTGAAAACACCCCTCCCTGTTCCTGCAGTTTGATGCTGATTTGCATTAGAGGATACAGAAAGAGGGTTTTAAGTCTCAGAACACGAAACCTTAATTATAAATACTACTCTAGCAGTTCATTCATTTATAAGGGTTTTGTTTGTTGGTTTTTGGGAGATGCTGAAAATCTATGGTGATTACTCTGCTGTAGATCTATTTCTTTCCCAATTAACTGAGTAAAAGGGCCGTTTTTGCTTCAAGAGTCCACAATTTAAACTTAAAAGATAGTGATTAGCTCCCAAGGAAAATCACTACGATTTCCTTTCCATCCTGTAGGGGCTCATAAATAACTGCATGATTAAGAACTGTGAAGGGGCAGAGGATGCTTACTTTCTGATTTCCTTTTCTGCCCAGGAAAAGAAGGGGGGTAGAGAAGGGAGGGAGCCAATGGAGTGGAATCAGTAATCCTTTATGGTCTTTATGGCATCACAGTCAAAATGATGAGATCACTGGTTCTCCTGAGCTAAGGGAACAAGCCCACCTCCTTTGGGGAATGAACCCATAAGGAAGGAAAATGGACACAAGTCAATGAATAATTTAACATAGTAAGGGGAGCTGGGAGAATTGCTGCTGCCAGAAAGGGTCAAGCCATTCCTTGCTATGAAAGCTACAAAAGATAGGGACTAAGGAGTGAAAGGACCCTAAAAGAGAAGGTTTCTGTCTGTAGGTGCAGTAACTTGTTCTTTGTGTTTCAAATGTAGGGTCTGTGAGAAACTGTCAAGATGAAATAATCATTTTTGTGTACTCATCCCTGAATCTTTTATCTTTTTTCAGAAAACATTTAAATGGTTCGCATTAGAAAACACTGCCTAGAGAACCATAATCTCTACTGCATACAGTTTTACAAACAACTTGTTTGTAGGCATAGTTCAGGGGCCCAAAAAGGCACCCTTTCAAAATCGTCCCCACCTGGGAACTGATGTCTCTCTGATCAGAACTTCATCCTTTTGACTAAAAAAGGGTTTTAATGGAAAGAAGTCTGGACTTAGAGTGAAGAAACTTGGGTTCAAACAGCAGTTCTAATATTTATTGACTATGTGACCCTGGACAAATCACCTCACCTCTCTGAGTATTTCTTCACCTGAAAAATCCTGCCTGTAAAGAGAATTGTTTGAAAAACTTGAAGAACTAGAGAAATGTGAGTTTCTGTCATTATCCCTGCTGAAATGCAATTAACTTTGGGAGGGGATAACCTTTAGTTATTAGATATTTACATGGGGATACAGGGAGATGTTCACAGGGGAAGAAAGACATTAAATACCTATCTATACCATATTCTGATCCTAATTTTACATATTTGGGTTATAAAATACATTTTGAGACTTTTTATGGACCTCTAAGCTCTATTTTCTAAAACCACTTTTGAGTAAATAATAAATTTTGACAGTAATTGGTTATTTGGGTTCTCTCTGAGGTTGCTACAATAATAGTACTGCGATTAGAGTCTGTCTGGTTCACCAAAGCAAGGTGTGCTTTGTGCTTTCCTGATTCATTGCACTCTACAGATGTAAAGTGTTGTTGTTAATATTAATGTATGCCTAGTGGTCAAGAAGAATCTTTCTCCCTAAGCACACTATTTACTACTAAGAGGCCAGTGACAGCCACTGTGAATTTTAGTGCTATCAGAATCTTCATAAAGGTGTCACACAGATCCTGCTTTGTGGCATTAAGGAGCTCTTCAACTACCTTCTGTTACTTCTATGAGATTTCAGAAGCCTGAGCATGGCAGCATCCCCTCACATTTCAAGTAATTTGCAGTAGCACACAAATGGTGGTAGCTAATGTTGCTGAAAGGAAGTGAGTGGCACTAATGTAACTTCTTGATAGCTCTTGAAGTCACACAGTAAGAAAAGGAAAGGCATCTTACAGCATCCAATTCATTATAACAAAATTAAGGAGAAGGGTCTGGCATAAGTCAGGTATAGCAAAGTAAAGAAAAGATGGGTTTTTTGGGGGGTTGCCAACATGGCATTGGAATACCACAGGTATTGCACAAAATATCTTTATCTGGTGGCAAACCTTCCAAATAAGTTTCCTCACAGCTATATAAAATGAAATTAGCATCCACAGACAGGTGACATTAGACTAGTCCAAAAGAAGATGCCATCTGTTCCTGTCCACTAGAAACTTCAAATTCAAGGACACTGATTCATACACACAATGAGATATATTTTTTCCCAAAACAAAGGACAAAATTTCTGATATTCTCATTTGTTCATGGAGTTTTACAATGTTTAGTAGCCAAAAAAATAAAAAGTTATCTAAAACTCCATGCATATCCCCTGAATATTGTATATAATGTTGGACTTAGTTAATGTCTGCTTAGTTTAGCTGAACTGTTTTTCTACCTTATTTTTTTCTTTGTTTTAAGAAATGACTTTCTGGGAGGAGAGGAAGAAGCAGTGAAGGACAAATTAGTGAATGAAGGTGACAAAGAAAGTTTAAATACAATTTTAAATTAAAAATAAAATAGAATTATGACCTCAAATTCACTGCATGAAAATCCAGTTGCACAATTAACATGGCATTGTTTTGTATTTGCTGGGACAAATTTATTCTTCAAAAATGAACTTGTACTTCTTTTTATTATTATAAAACCTAGATAATATTTTCTAAAATATCTATTAAAAACCATATAATTACATAAGTTTAATACCACATCCACAAAAGGGGGAAATGAATACTTGAGATTGATAAAAAAAAAGGTTAAAGTAATCTCTCGTGAGAGATACTACAATTTTATAGTGTCTCTTTGAAGTTTAGTAGAACTGACATTGAGTGCTAAGTTCTATTGTTTTTCCTTACATTTTCTAAGTCCCAAATGTATCCTCACTGAACCTGTATATTTTGAATAAACAAATTAAAAACAAAAGCATAAATGCAGGAGCTTATTGGAACAAAGTGTAGTTTACAATATGAGACTACACTTTAGTGGACTTTGAATCTCATCATAGGCTATCCTGTATATTACATTGTGCATGTGTATTATACAGTGATAAAGAACTCCCATAAGTGTTTTAGGTTGTGGGGTAGGGAGTATTGGAGAGCAGGGCAAATATTGGGAACTGAGATTTAATTAATATTAGAAACTCCTGGTGTGAAAACTTCCTCCACTGATGATAATTGGCAACTCATCTATAATTTATAATCTTAGATATTTAGAAATACTTAGATATAACTTAGAAAACAATCACTATCTCAGGTACAAAGTGGTTAATTGATTTGCACATGATCACAGAGCTAGTATGGATCAGAGG